TGAAAGGGCATTACAAGAATACAAATACAAATACTGGACACAAAGGAGAAAAACGTCGAAACACAAAGGGTCAGATCCACAAATCCTTCCCAAAGCACGAAACAAACAACAAAGGATTCAAAGAAAATTAGGATTGAGGAACAATGCAATCAATACAGCAAACAAGACGAATGAAACAATGAACACATGAAAAGGGAAAAAGCAAGAGATCATCCAAGAGCTAGAACGGGACTAAGTAGTGTGTAATTTTCGTGTCCATTCGAGAAAAAATAAAAACAATATGCATGCCCATATGCCATTTGTATACCTAAAGCCCCAACTCGTTAAACTTCAGGCCCACAAGATAGATTCACGGGAAAAGAAAAAGTCGACCTAAGCCCAATTAGAAAGAAAAAAAAAGGGTCAGACACAATGAGAACATATCTTGTACCTGGAATTTGCGCAATATCTCTTAATTTTGCAGTTTCACCTGGAAATCAATACGCTGCTTCGCGAACTGGGACAATACAGACTTGACCAGAAACCCGTCGGTCACTTTTATCTCGTAGTGACACTGTAAATCAGCATAAAAATTAAGATAGAAAATCCAAACTATTATATATAACCTTACCTTAGACTAATTTTCTTCTTACCCGGTTCAAACTGTCCTTCATGTGAACAACGATGTTTCTACAAAATCTGAGAATTGATTCATTAAATTTTTGCCGACTATACATGTAGCCATAAAAACACTTTACATTTTTGAAATGAAAAACCATACAAAGCGGCCCTTTTCCAGTAAAAAATGGAGCAGTCCAACCCCGGTGATCACTCATTACATAAATCGCCTTTCCATAGTCAACTATGTAAGAATCCATTCCCGTCGGTTCCTTTTCCTTATAGTTACATATAAAACGTAGCGTATCCGTTACGCTCATGAAGGCAAAATGATTAAGAATCGGCCTATCTTTCTCCAAACTGAAATTATGGTATATGTCACAATTAGAGTGATAAATGCATAAATAAACAAGAATGATATAAAAATAAAACAGAAAAAATGATATGAAAATGAGGAACGTACCAATTAGTGTCTTCCAATCTGCTCACCATACCCTCTAGAAGAGGTACAGAGCCAAGATTTGGTACAATTGACCTTATTGCAACTGCAGCATAATTAAAATCCCGTTTCATGTTCTCTTTGGTCGATGAAAACACCTTTAAGCCGCCAATGAACTTCAATTTCTCTACTTTTCCGTCCTTGACAATACCAAGATTCGTAATACTGAATCCACGAAACGACCTTTTCATCCAATGCAAATTACTGATCAGTAAGTTGCATGAGATGAAAAGGTTGTTTCGTGGATTCAATATTACAAACCTTGGTATCATCAAGGACGAAAAAGTAAAGAAATTAAAGTTTATTGGCGACTTAAAGCTGTTTCCATCGACCAAATAGAACAGGAAACGAGAGTTCCATTCTGCTGCAGTTGCAATAAGGTCAATTATACCAAATCTTGGCTCTGTACCTCTTCTAGAGGATTTGGTGAGCAGATTAGAAGATACTAATTGGTACGCTTCTCATTTCCATATCATTCTATATGTTTTTTTTTTTTTCATATCATTCTTATTTATTTATGCATTTATCACTCTAATTTTGACATATCCCATAATTTCAGTTTGGAGGAAGAGAGACTGATTCTTAATCATTTTGCCCTCATGAGCGTAATGGATACGCTACGTTTTATACGTAACTATAAGGAAAAGAAACCGGCGGGAATGGATTCTTACATAGTTGACTATGGA